GGGACCACCTGACCAACAAACGCGTCGAGGGCACGCGTAGGCTTCTCGGTCAACTCTTTTACTCAACAATTTCAAGTTCTTTGGAGCCTGCATAATGTTAATGGCATATGAAATTAATTTCTACACACATATTCCTACATTTGTTAACTGTGATGATTTTAAAGTCGGTGGCTGTCGTGAGCTGCAGGTTGTTGAACTTACCGACCGACGCCAACCCTATGTCAGGAGAGAGACCTTGTGGGACGTGAATGCAACTCCTTCCCGGCGTCGCTGCTTCGTACTTTGAGTGAAAATGTTGGGGATAAAACCTCCAGATCATGCAGTAACGTGAACTGGTCACTTTTAAGACACAGTTCGGCTCCGGGGCACGAAACGCGCTGTGTCTCCTCCAGCGAAAGCCCCTTTGTACTTGTCCGCTCCAGCAGCAAGTTGTTAAATCGCTGTCATGCGCAGTCCACGTCTCCAGAGCCGCTCACTCCGCGCGCCCGAGGCCCACGGGAAGGTCACTGTGCTTATCCAGGTGAGTTTACCTTTGCAATGTGTAACCCACTCTTGATGGTTGCAGGCACATTGTAGCATAAGGCACTGGGTAGGCATTTTCATTTGCTTAGGGTAAATTTGGGCAAACTATCAACTACCAAAAAGGCGTGTTAGCTAAGTGCTATTTCAGCTTGATCAGACCTGCACATTTGTGAGAAAGAAAAGTAGTAGAATAAAAGTTATCTAAGCATTTACCACGTATTGGTTAAGTTATTGAGTTATTGTGTGTGTAAAACTAGGCTGTACATAACATAAATAAACTCGAACAAAAGCAAGATTTGCAAATACATTTTTACTCACTGTGGCCTTGCAGTTGAGACAACTATACTGTCCAATCGCCCCATCTGCTGGTTAAAGTTTAAACACCACCCACTTCAAGTTGCAATCAGCCCACCACAATACAATGCTAGGCCTGTTGTTGGAAGATGTTTATGACCAAAATGATTTAAAGTGCATTTAGGTTTATTGTTTATTTGAGATTTTTAACCAAATAAAAGATAGACGTCGTGCTAAGCATTTAAACGTATCTAGGCTGTAGTTAAGCCTATTCAAATCTTATTCATGGCCCTATTCCCTTACTATTCCACAAGTGTCCTAGTGACTGTAGAAAAGACTCATGATTGGCATTACTTTAACGCTTTAATTCATAATATCGTGGTGTTCCTGATTAACTCGATTGTAACTGTATTTTAAGACCACAATTCTTTTTTACTCAACTCAACTCGACAATCGCGGAGTTTTGAAATCTTTTAAAATGTAAACAGACTCCTTTGCGTAAAACTATTGCATCTTAGGTATGCCCAGAGTCCATTCTTCTGGTCACATCCCTTTTCTAAGGTTATTATCTCCATCAGACCATTGTGTACAAAGCGCTGTGTCCGGCGTTGAGCCACGCCTCTTACGAACTTTAGGATTGGCTCTAGTCTCCGAACTCCCTTCAGCGTGTTCCGTGTTGTACTGCATTTAAACTTGTGCAGCCTTTTCTCGGTCCGTATTGCAAGGCTGCACCATCCGCCACCATGTCCGACCAGGGGACCTTCGACACCAACGTGGTCACCGTGACCCGTTTTGTGATGGAGGAAGGCAGAAAGGCAAAAGGCACGGGAGAACTGACAACTCTTCTGAACTCTATTTGCACAGCAGTTAAAGCCATCTCAAGCGCCGTGCGTAAAGCTGGGATCGCCCATTTGTGAGTAAACATTGCACTATGTTGTCAGTACTTAGTGGGAGTTAAAATACATTTCCATACTTTGTTCAAAAGTAATTGTACATTTTGTGCAAATAAATCTTCATTTTGGTTAATCCACGTTGGCACAAAGTGGGGATTCAGGTTTTCAACGAGCCTATCAGGGAGAGCACAACCATAGGCACACCCACGTGTCCTAACAGTGTAATCTCAGATTACAACAAATTTTGCCTGCAGTTTAGGGGAGATTTGTTCATATAATTGGATAAAAGCAAAAGTATAATGATATAAAATTAGCTTTTGTTATAATACATGCTGTTATGCTTCATATGTTTCTGTCTCCACACTGTGTAAAAAAAACTGGCTGCAAAATTTCTTCATCAGTTGTGAAATACAGAGGCATGCAACAGTTGTCTACATCCTCCTGGTAACTAACCAGCTCTCTTGTGTCTTTTTCTGTCATTAGGTATGGCATTGCTGGGAACATAAATGTGACAGGTGATCAGGTTAAGAAACTGGACATTTTGTCCAATGACCTTGTTATTAACATGATCAAATCGTCCTTCACCTCCTGTGTGCTGGTGTCTGAGGAGAATGAGAAGGCAATCATTGTGGAACCAGACAGGAGGGTAAGTTGTACCATCCTGCTGTTCCAATCCTGCCAGTGTCAGAATACTGATTTATGTGATTTGTTCTCAGGGAAAATACATTGTGTGTTTTGATCCTTTGGATGGCTCCTCAAACATCGACTGCCTTGTTTCCATTGGCACAATTTTTGCCATTTACAAAAAGGTATTTTTTAATTCAAGTCACAAAAATGATTTCAATACAAACAGTGTAATGTTGGTTTGATTTATTTATTTTATATACACTTAGGTTACAGATGATGAACCAAGTGAGAAGGATGCCCTACAGCCAGGGAGAGACCTTGTAGCAGCAGGTTATGCACTTTACGGCAGTGCTACAATGGTTGTACTCTCCACTGGCAATGGTGTCAACTGCTTCATGCTGGACCCAGTAAATGTCCTTTATTACTGAAGTATCTTTTATAATTATCTACAACATTAGGGCATATAATCCCTTTCTTGTTCAACTGTTATAAATCAGGCACTTGGAGAATTTATCCTGGTTGATCGAGATGTGAGGATCAAGAAGAAGGGCAAAATCTACAGCATAAATGAGGGCTATGCAATGCACTTTGATCCTGCTGTCACAGAGTACCTGGAAAAGAAGAAGTTTCCTAAAGTAAGGAACAGATCTTAATGTCAGCACTGTGCACCTTTTGCGTTTAGATGTGTAAACATTATTTAAACATTATTTAAATATGTGTAGGATGGCAGCCAGCCTTATGGGGCACGCTACATTGGGTCTATGGTGGCAGATGTTCATCGGACTCTCATGTATGGAGGAATCTTTTTATACCCTGGAAATACTAAGAGCCCCGAGGGAAAGGTATAAGGACCTCAATATATTTTGACCTTAATTGTTACTAAAATATGATTTGTGACAAACTAAACTTCCCCTCCTGAAGCTACGGCTGCTGTACGAGGGAAATCCCATGGCCTACATCATGGTGCAGGCGGGGGGCATGGCCAGCACCGGCTTTGAGAACATCCTGGACATCCAGCCTGAGAGCATCCACGAGCGCTCCCCAGTGGCCATGGGCTCCACTGAAGATGTGCTGGAGTTCATCGCCATCTGCAAGAAACATGCCAAAAAGTGATGAGTCATGCAGTCCGGTCAAAACCTTTATATCCACAACTGTGACGTCTCAGGGACTCGGAGACCAAATACCGAGATTTCTGAAATGCTTTAGCTCTATTATTATAGTTTTTCTTTTAAACGGATTGCAAAAGTAATTGCATAAGATGTGATGATGGAATGAACATAATGGAATTATGTGCAATATCCATGCTTGTTACTCATTCAAACATGAGACATGATGAATGAATGTAAAACATCAACTGCTTTAAAAAGTGACCAAAAAGTGCCAAAGAGAAATAAGCTTGAAAATAAGAAGTCAGTTTACCTCATCTTGTGTCTTAAGAATGATCAAAAATATACATTTGTGAAGGACCAAATCTGTATGCAATCATACAATGTTTTATAATGTGAACTACAAGTGTTCAGAGTGAAGCCGTAAATCAAATGGTTTGTCATCATTAAACTCTGCTTATCAATATGTAAAAATATTGTTATTATTTATTCTGTGTATTTAGTTTTAAGTGTAATTTTCATTTCAGATCCAAAGAAAAGCGGATACAGGCTGAGATAGATACAGATACATAGATACAGAAACAGACTGGTATTTGAGTTAAAGGCCACAGAGCGGTCAGGGGGTTCTGATGACATTTAACTTTGATTTGAAGTGTCTGCTCTTTACAAGTCATTTGAGCGTCTGGGCCCAGGCAGAATTTCTAAAACAAAATTAGTAGTTTCATTGTGTGTTGTTGACACGTGGTTTGCAAAATTTGCCATCAAGAGTAACAAAATAGCATGCCTTTGTGTTCGCTATAGTACACTGAGGACATCACACAAAGCCAGGAATGCAACCTACTTGTGACAGTTTGGTGTGTAAAAATGTATTTGAAATATGATCTTGTAGATTGTAACACGTGTTTCTGGTTGAACATTTTCTCCAAAATGTCCTAGATAAAATATCAGAATAGTGCGTGTGGGGTGCAGAACACTGTGTATGTCACTTGATCTGCCTGGGCTGTGCGTGTCTCACAAACACACCCACACACACGTGCGCACGCACGCACACATACGCGCACGCACACATACGCACACGCGCTTCCACATGGCTGCACTCAAATAGACTCTGGTGTGGGGGGGTGACTGTGGGGACTGGGTCTGACAACAGCACTCACTATTCGCCTGTTCTTTGCACAGAGCACTCAGCCCACAGCACAGAACCCACCAGGATGTCGGACCAGTCTGCCTTTGACACAGATGTGTGGACCCTCACACGGTTTGTGATCGAAACAGGGCGGCAGGCCAAGGGGGCCACAGGAGAGCTCACTCAGCTCATCAACGCTATGCTCACTGCTATCAAAGCTATTTCTTCAGCTGTACGCAAGGCTGGCCTGGCTCACCTGTGAGTACACACCCATCCACAGACACACGCATATACTTTCAGAAGGTCAGAGGTCGGGAACTTTAGTGTGGCTTTAGAGGCATGATATCTAGTGGTTACATAAGAGTCTTAAAATATAGTCTGAAAAAGTACTTTTGCAAATTTATTTAGTTAAGCAGTCACTGTGTATTGTATTTTTTCATGATAGCCTAAACACCTGAATTTGATTTTGTTGTGGTGCATATTACAGTGCGAGTACAGTATTTCTGTTTTTACTGTTTGGAAATCAATATCACCCAATGCAAGTGTAGAAAGCAGATTTATTTTTGCACAAAATGTCCAGTATGTCTTCACTCCATGTGTTTGATCAGGCAGGGCATAGCTGGCTCTGTGAATGTGACTGGAGATGACGTGAAGAAACTGGACGTGCTTTCAAACGACCTGGTGATTAACATGCTAAGAGCCTCATACAGCACCTGCTGCATGGTGTCAGAGGAGAACAAGGATCTCATCGTCACCCCAAAAGACAAGAGGGTAAGCTCTACCTGCTGATTAGGTCAGTGGTCCAGTATCGATAATTACTATATCGACTTATCTTTTAATACATGAAAGCTGGAACAATATTTTTTTAGGTTAATATTTATTGTTATGGCATTTTTTTTGCCCTACTGGAAATGCAAAATTATTTCAGTGTGTAAAAAAACATGCTTTTACATTACTATATTTTCTTATCATACTATATTACTATATATTTTCTTGACAGCAGCATCACATGTACAAACAATAATCATAAATGTAAAAAGGACCTGCATATTGCATCCTCATGAATGTTTTCTGTATGTTTTGATAGGGGAAGTATGTGGTGTGCTTTGACCCTCTTGATGGATCCAGCAACATTGACTGTTTGGCTTCAATTGGCACCATATTTGCTATCTACAAACGGGTCAGTGCCTGCCTAGACACACCATGCATGTGACAAAGGAAACAAATACTGTATCAATGTGTTAATATTTGCTTTTATTAAGAGCACAGATAATAATAGGGCGTTAAATGGAACGATTGTCTAATTTTATATTTAAGATCAGTAGTGGTAACTAAAAACAGACAAAAATGTATTGGCTCTGTTTGCACAATTATTTTTATTATTATTTACTCAAATGTGTGCAGAAATCAATTGTTCGAAATACAAATTTGTAACTGCAGCAATCCTCAGCATACACAAGAGGGCGCCATCAGCAATCTAATTATTAGTTACAGTATTAGTCCCCGAACTTTTTACTGGCCTTTAAACTCAGACTGTTAAAGATTCTGATCCATTAACAACAAAAACATGTAAACTGCATGTACCCTCCTCTTCACACTGCATAATTTAGACTCTGTACATGTAAACAAAGCATAGAAAGGAAAAGAATATTTAGAGTTTACAGAATTCAGTTTTGTTTTGCCATGGATTTTACCTGGGTGACTGAGTGGATTACACAGAGAAAAGATTGAAAGGGTAAATGGGGTTACTTGGACATATTTGTAGAGCAATTATAATTTCAGACACAACAAAGCCACTAGACTTTGTAGAACACTAAGATTATTGGATTCCAGGTAAAGTTGCTTTGTTTTCTGATTGTAAGGTAACTGAGGGAGAGCCCACAGAGGAGGATGCTCTACAGCAGGGGAACAACATTGTGTGTGCGGGATACGCGTTGTATGGCAGTGCTACTCTGGTGGCCCTGAGCACCGGAGCCGGACTCAACTTCTTTATGCTCGATCCAGTGAGTGCTCTTTACTAAACATAAGTGCAATTTAATATGTAACTGTAAACACCAAAGGCAAAGAAAAAAGTGTCAAAATTGTGCTTATTTCAGAAGGGAAACAACATACCAAAGGGAAACTACATACATTGTGTGGTTTTGTTTTGTAAGGTTAATTTGTATGTGTTTTACTGTTTGGTAACTCCCATAATTTAAATATAATAATAGAGATGTTTTATTTGTGTCATTGTGTAGGCTATTGGTGAATTCATCTTGACTGAGAGGAATGTGAAAATCAAGCCAAAAGGAAAGATCTACAGTCTGAATGAAGGCTACGCTAAATATTTTCACCCATCGATAAATGAGTACCTGAAGCACAAGAAATACCCAGAGGTGAGACTGCATAATCAAGGTTAAGATATTTCATTGATCACGACAGAGAAATGTCTCTGGAGCAGTGAGCGAGTACAGATGTGGGGGATCATCTTCAAATCTTGAGCTAGGTTTTTGGTGAGATTACCTGTTGGATTTTGCCTATTGTACATGACCAGACTACCTGGACAAAACCAGGACATGTGAAGTACAGTGCATAGAAACGTCTCACTTGTTCTAGAATCAAAATCCAGGACCTTCTTAATGTGGGGCAAGCCCCCAGTACTAAGCCCGTGTACCAACCTCACTTAAAATGCTGACTCTGGTATAGTTTGGATGCTCCATGTGATGGGGTCATACAAACAGCAGCTCAGATAGGATACAGAAGAGCAGTCAGCTGATGCACAGGATGAGGTCACAGCTGCTTGACTTCCCTGTTCCCCTGGACATGCACATTTAGCACTTAACAGGCTTCTGACTCAAACTGGTTTATTGTAGTGTTTAAACTATGTAAGAGTTTAAAGTCATTAACTTCAGTGTTAATCTGAGGTTTAATTACTAATAATATACTGTACAATATTATTAGGAATGGACCAATCCTATACTATGCCTACTGTCAACCAATACCAATGCAGACACTGAAAACAGCATTTATTTCAATTTAGACAAAGACAAAACTGATCCAAATGTGTTATGGATGTGTTATTTGTAAAACTACAGAACAACTTTGTGTAAATAAAAGTTTAAACATTATGAGACTTTCTGGGCGAATATGACCAGTAAATAGTCATCACAGTTACAGTCATCACATTTAAGTGTCCAAACAGGATATCAGCTGAACTGAGGTTTGGAAGATGATACAGCAAATTTCTCCAATACCAGCATCAAATCGGTGCATTCCTAAATACTACATTTGCAGTACATTTATTATGTAATCTAATGGATTGTCCAACAGTATGACATGTAACATTATCACACAACAACCTTTCTCTTTTTTTGTAAGTTATGAAAAAAGCACTTTCAGAAATGAGACATTCATACAGATAACACAGTGTGAAAAGGTCTTTGAGACTGTAAATAGAACAATCTTGTGAGGCTATGAAATCAATAATAGCCAGTCAGCTGCTCCATTTTACTTTCTGTTACACAAGAATATAGGAAAAATTAAGTCGTCCATACACTTAACCTCGAGACAGTGGTGTCAGACAAACAACTACTTCTACAGTCTGCAAATAAGCAGTAAAGTGTTGTACAGTAATTTCTCACACAAGTGAAACATGTTCTAATATGGACCTTTCAAATCCCCAATTTTAGATTTAGTTTGCTGTTTTTATATTCTTTTTCAAAGGCAAGTGTGCCGCGAATACACCCCTCCCTCCTGGTTGTGGGATGTGACTCAGCAAAGCACATGACACTTTACTTAAACCATGTGTTCAAACATAGAATACTCCGTATATAGTTTGATGGACTGTCTTCCAGTTACTCATGTTTAATAGTATCACTTATTATCTGTGATGCACTTAGATAAACATGTGTTTTTGTTGTGACGTTACATTCCAGGTCAGCTGTTTCAAGGATTTTGACCTGATCAGTGTTATTTTATAAACCAATGGGTCAAAAAGATAATCCCCTGAAAAACATAATATAGTTTGGTACATCCACATAACTTCACATTGGTTTGATCAGCTTTACATGCTTCTATTATAATATTTTAACAACTTCAGAAATTAAGTCTGTGATAGCAGAATTCAGGTCATCTCTGGCCATGTTTGTATCGTTAATTCTGTGTAATGTCAAATTGTTAAATAGCCTACACAGCTTGAGAGTTAGGTCATGAGATGCCTTTATGGAGAGAAAGAAGGTGAAACAAATACTATATATAATAGAGTTTTCTGGTACACACACCATACATCTGCTTTACTGTCTTATTGTTTATTATTAACAGATTGTCAAGTATTAACTTCAAATGCTAATAATTTGCTCACATAGTGCAACATTCTTGCAGGATGGTAGTTCTCCTTATGGGGCCCGCTATGTTGGTTCTATGGTGTCTGATATTCATCGAACCATTGCCTACGGTGGAATATTCATGTATCCTGCCAATGAGAAGAGTCCAAAAGGAAAGGTACCACAAAGTGTTTTTGATCTGTTTTAAAAATGTTGTTTGTTTCATGATTGTTAAAGTTGTCTTACAATTTTTTTTACAACTAACTCGTGACCACGCAATGTAAGAAATGTTTAATTTATTGTCACAACCACAAATGACCATGCACTTCATATTTCTCCAGCTCCGTCTGCTCTATGAGTGCAACCCCATTGCCTTCCTGATTGAGCAGGCTGGAGGCCTGGCCACCACGGGCACACAGAGGATCCTGGATGTCCAGCCGGAGGCCTTGCATCAGCGAGTGCCCTTTGTGGTTGGCTCACCCGACGATGTCAATGAATACCTGTCTTTTGTTCAAAAGTATCAATGAATGTCCAAATGCACCACATAAGTGCAGGCTTGTATCCTGAGGTCTTTCATATTGTTAACGTGTCGCTTTTGTATCAAAAAAGGAAAGCCACCATTGTTTTTTGTTGTACAAATTAAATATTCTGTCTGCTCGAGGTCTGTCATGTCCCAATTAAAAAAGACTTGTTTTCAATAATCTTGAACCCTCAAACCAGGTTGGGCAGTTTAAACTTTAGTAGAGGGCTGGGTGACAGTACAGTGTAATCATTTTCAGCTTTTCAATAAAATGTCCGGTGAACCTTTTTGAAAGAATACATTATATATTCAGTGCTTTTAATTTGCACTTTTTCTATTCAAGTATTAGTACTGACAGTAAGTGTTGGCACACTTTCTTGTTCATTCTTTTAGTACTTTGGGAACTCAGCTGTATAATCCCAGATGCTTGCAAGTCATATGTTCAAGTTGGTAAGATTAGTGAGGTCACAAGAAGCGTTCCAGCAGCTTTAAATGAGAATTAGGGCAACTCCAAAAATTCTAAGCTTGTTTGAAAATTGTATAACTTATGAAACATTCATCACACAGACTAGTGTTCAAAGTATTTAATTGATCACAGTAAAGTACCAAAAAAAAAAAAAATATCAATACAATGATCAAAGCAAGTGTTACACATCACTCACCAAAAATATTTACAAAGAAATAACACTAAATAAAAAACACAAAACAAGCCAAAACAAAAATGGCGCAGTTTCCCTAAAACAGTGTTCTTTCATAAAACTCAGCAGAATCTCCTGCTAAAAACGTGTGACCAGAGGAAGGTCTCTTTAGCCACACTATTGCAATAAAAAAAGACTATGGATGCTTCAGTGGAGCAGTGTAGTTAAACAAGTGGATAACTGGCTGCTGTAGCGATTCCGCAGTGGTTCTTCTTGTCTTTGGCCATGTAGATGTAACCCTTGTCTCCCCACTTCTCACTCCAGCTGCATAGTAGAGGGTTTAACATTAGAGTGGAACTTAAAAACGGTTTTACATCATCTAGAGAAAAACTCACCTGTTCTTTACAATCCAATATTTCTTTCCATCAACGTCTTCGCCCTGAAAGCCATAACCAACCACGAGCACACCATGGTCCAGCTCCTCACTGCTGCAGTCCTTCTCATAGTAAATTCCTAAAGAGAAAATATGGCTTGGTCAGTCAAGTTCAATGAAAGAACCCAGTCTTTTCACACAGCTTACAACATACCTGACTGATAAAACTGGAAGGATTCATGGCCAGCATCAATCGCCACAGAAACAGGTCCCACTGCTGCCACAGCCTTCATGAGTGCGCGCTCACTACCACTAGGAATGTCCATGAAGCCGGTGTCATTGGCAGAGTTGTACTTGGGGTCGTAGTGGCAGGGTTGGTCATCCTATTAAAAAAATAAATTAATTTAAAAAAATAAAAAAGTAACTAATTTCTAGACATCTTTCAACTGAAAGCTAAAAAATATTGTACATACTGTTCCCAAATATGGGTAAGACTCCTCAGAGTCCAGTCCCTGGTTGTCTTTAACATACTGGAAGGCCTGGTCCATCAGACCTCCGTTGCAGCCCTCGTTGCCCTCAGGCCTGGAACAGTCAACCAGGTTCTGCTCACTCAGGGACACCAGTGTGCCGGTCTTTCTGAACTGCTGACCCTCCAGAGCACCTGTAGTGCTGAAGGCCCAGCAAGAACCACACTGACCCTAAAAAAGTACATTTAAAAAATTTGTTTAACCAATTTTTTTTTAAATTTCAGACTCATTCAGCTGCCTACTGAAGAGTGGAGCTACAGTTTTTACATTAGCCCAGTCAGACTGGTTTCAGGTTACAGGGACCATGTACTTGCTTGAGGAGGGAGGGGGGCATGAAGCACTCAGATAAACAAGCCAAGAGGAGTCTTATCTAAACAAGCAGTCGTAGCAAACATGCTTATGACGATTACTTGGGGTTAAAGTCTTGCACATTAAAACATGTAACACAGTGGATACAAAACACTAAGGGGAACCCTAGTTAAAATATGATGAAAGACTAAGTTTTACCTGGTCTTTAACTGGTGTGACGTAGCCCTTGTCCCTCCAGTCAATAGATCGTGGGGCTTCAAAGAAGCTGGGCTCTAAGTAAAATGACCCCTTGAATTTTCTGTGAGTCTTCTGCTTGTAGCCGTTCATGACCTGCCTGAACTCCTCATGAGTCTGAGAAGAGAGAAAATTCAGTGAATAAATGCAGTGATGGAGCAATGCTGATTAGTTAGAGGCAAAAATCTTGGACCTTTGAGAAAAACACACTGTACTAACCATGTCACCAAAGTGGTTCATGCCCAGGCGGTAAGTGTGTTTGCCCATTGAGTGCTCGAGGTTGTGCAATTCAATTTTCTTCAAGTTTTTCTCCCAGATCATCCTCCTCCAACTCTCTTCTTTCTACAAACACAGATGAGGGTTAGCACAATGTTCAATAAAAATTAAACTCTTCTAATGTAATAAAATGTGAATCACCTCATGGTAGAGTTTGACGTGCCAGCTCTTCCACTGGTCCCAGTGTTCATCCAATTGTGGGTCCAGGCTGGGGGCAGAAAGGGCTGCTGCCAGGCACAGGGCAAACACTGCTAGAGGCAGCATTATGGTTTTGCTGAAAAACAAAGGGTGAGTTAGGGCAGTCTTAAGTAGCGTGACAATTCTGAGACTCCAAAGTGAGATGAAAATAGGGGCGTAGTGAAATGGCCCAGCTGTGACTCGCGTAGACCTACTAACTGTTTATTTGGCAGGTCTTGCGTCAAAGCTTGTACAGGTACAATTTGTTCAGATCAATGACTCAGTGCATTCCTGTTTCCGTCAGAGCACTGTCTTCATAAACACACCTGTAAGTCAAGATAATACTCGACGGGTCTATTACTTTGCCTTTATGAAAAAAGTCGGAATAACAAACAAATTGTGGATTAAATGAGGCTAGATTAGTTTTCCCCGAGAACAGGAAACGCTAGGTAGCCATTCCAACAAAAAGCTAGCCCGTTTTGTTTTGCTCACGGTCACGGGATCTGCAGTGGCACAAAGCCAGCACCAAGGCGAACCGAAACCTCGTCCCGGAAAACGAAAATAAAATTGAAACTCCGGCACTGTTAGCTACATAACTGGACGGAAAAAGCATGGATTGTGTATGGAGTTTTGGGATGAGTTTCGAGATTTTCATTTGGTGGCGAAAATACGGACATCGCACTTTGCTAATGTACGTTTGCTTAACAGGCCGAAAAACACTCAAATTGCGAACATACTTGTCGGTACAAAATAATCTTCAGTTTAATGCAAAAAAAAGGGGGGGATCTAAATTTTACCATCTAGTTACCCGGGGCTTTGTTCTGCCCAGTGCTACAGAATAGAGGAGAATGAATAAAAAGGCAATGTTGAGCCAAAAGACAAAAGAACACATGAAATATGCAGGATCAATACCACAGAAAAACAAAATGAACAGCTGTAATACTTACTGCAAATGTAGCGTGCTGTGAAGCGAAGAGTGGTAAAATGTGTTTTTCTGGAGAGGTACACAAAGTTTATAAAGGCCCGATGAGCGACCCCGACTGCAGCCCTCCCCGCGCTCTCATTGGTCGGATCCTTGTTTTTCCCGCAATTGTCCCGCCTACAAAGTGACGTCATAGCGGGCGCACGTGATTCCTGATTTGAGGAACCATCAAGGGTGAAACTCCACTGTGCGTAAAGTTGATTACTCCTTGAAAAACTATCGGTATTTTATGTAAACGTGATTTTATGATCTCATTATTTATCTGACCATGATTAAAGGGAATTCCACATTGTATAGTTTGTCTGTGTCAATAGGTTCATAAGAGAGAAAAGAGCCTCCCAACTTATGTTTACACAATTTACAGGTTTATTACAGCCAGAGACAGTGTAGTTTTGCTGCAAAAACATTGGTATATGTTGACTAGATTTGGAAATCGATAAGCATACTTTTACCAAAATGTAATTAAATATTTTTCTTGTTGTATGGGGATATTCAAATGCTTATGTCTTTTTGTGTATTTACTGATAACAAAACAAGTTTTGTTTGTTTGTTTGTTTCCAGGTTTATAAATCGGGTATATACATCTAATAATATCAGTAAATAAAATGTGAAGTGTTTGATGGACAAATAAACAGGTTGCAATCCTGGGAGGAATTTGAGGAAGAGCCATCTCTTAGTCAGCACTCAAAGAGTTAATCAGGTCTGCTCATGTGACTGATAAGAGTGTGAAGTGATTTCTCTGGAAAAACAACAGTGCAACCCTTTGCTAATGTGTTCTGACATAATTGCATCCCGCTTGAACAAACCAGGCAGCTGTTTGGTCTGTTAATCATGTTAGATTTTTACAAATATTAGCTTTGAAGGATAGGATAGGAGCTTGACTCTTTTGCTCCTTTAATCTCAACTAAACCTGTCACAATAACAAATCGAAGTGTGAACTATTGCTGAAGTAAATATAGACAATAAATGATAATAATGCCACTAACTCAGGAGCAGATTTATACCACAAAAACTATTCTACATCTACAATATGCAATAAATAAATTGCAGAATGAAACACTTTAGGACGTTAGTACTAGTAGTTTGCATCTGTAATGAGTCATCAAAGTATATAATATAATAAAATAAAATATAATTCATTCAACCAGCTCAAATCTTATCCTAGCCAAAACCCCTACACACAAATTTCCCACAACTAAAAAGAAAATGTGCACACGATAAATATTGACTCCCAAAAAATATTGTTCCAGTTTTCAAATACTGAATAGCTCGATATAGTAATTATCGCAACAGGCCTAATATCAACACATTGAATTTGCAGAAAAAATATAAATGGCAGTATTTAGTCATGAGTTGTTGTAAGCAATATTATAGTTAAAGCACAGAGATCATATTTCAATACAAGAGATGTGATTGATGATGTCTTCACATTTGAGAACACAAATTAATGCAGAATGCTGAGAAAATATGCTGTCCTTATGCTATAGTCAGCTGTAAATGTGTCACAGGATACTGTTCCTTAATTGAGGTAATCACAACATATGTTTATGCAAGTCAAACTTGCTGAGACAGACTAGATATGTTGCATCACAATCAAATGCTCAGGCCTTACACAGTCTTTAAATAAAAAAATAAAAAAACATTAACCATAAATACAATCAATACAATTTGCTTTTGGAAATGTCTGTTTATGAGTCTGTTGATACCTTAGCTATCTCCTTCTGCTCTTCTGCTTACATCACCAGTTGTTTGTCAATGTAGACAAATATCAATAAACATCAATACATTTTTGTATCAGGATGTCCCACTTCTTCATCATAATAGTTTGTCTGGTTGTAAAACATCACTTTAACATTTTTAGGACAGATAAAATGCAATGTCATTTGAAAACGGAGCAAGGAAACTGGTCAGACCTTAAACAAAAGCTCTATAAGGGTCTGCATCGACTGTATAACTTGACTGAGTTCTTGTTTCATTTGCATTGAAAACAGGTAAGTAGAGACATGATGTGAAACTTTTCACAGTTCCTGCTCTGAAAATGGCATTACATTCACAAAACCCACTGACTTTAAATGTACCAACTCAATATAGTAAATAATAATAATAGAAAAAAAATAAAAATAAAATAATAATAATAATGTATGTTGCCTCAAGCACTGAGTTAAGCAGTGATTTTCTCACCACTATTCATGCACATGAGCAGTTACAATGGGTTTTCTCATTCAACATATTAGAATGAAACTAAACTGGTTTAGTTTTTCGTTTAACATATGCTTTTCCTCTTCAGCACAGCGTATCACTATGCTGCGAGTCTGTACAAAAATGTGTCATGTGGATTGTTGAGACATAGATGACATAGCAGAAAACCCAAAGCCCCAATAAGGTTTCAGATCTGTGAGGAAAATAAACTGCAAACCCAACTAAAGTATAAAGCAAGATCCATTGTTAAACACCCAGTATACATTAGTTACAATTTGAAGATTTTGATTTCTTGAACATGTTTTGGGGGTATTTGGTAGCCTAGTGTTTGCATGTCGGGACAAGGCCAGGTGGCTTGAGTCAACAGTCATGTGATCATGCGGTTGTGTGGGTGCTGTGGGAGGCCCTGAAGTTGCAGTTCCACAATGTACTCAGACCAGCGTGAGTAAGAGCCAGCACCGTCATCACCAGAAATGTACAGGAACCTAAGAGCTATGGAAATACTAATGTTAAAATTGCAGTAAAATCCAATCTATACAATAAAAAATAGCAAGCAGCACATGTTTGTTTACTATTCTTCAGCGCACAGACTAGTGAATGGTATTGCCTTGTTAATGTGTAAAAAAGTATTCAGTTTGTTAAGCTACATACACAATAACTGAAAAATTATTAAATTATAATTAATTCTGTTGTTATATAAATACATTGTAGGTGGGTAATAGGGGAAAACATCTTTCTTTAATCAGATCTTCCCAATAAAATATACTAAAATCTTATTTAAATTAAAAGCATTCTTTTTAAAATGATAAAACACATGCCAAAGGTGATCAAAAATGCAATCCAATAACCAATAATAAAATACAAAATCACACCAAGTAACATGCAGAAAGAGTGATATTAATCAAATCATTTATTATAAAATGTATTACACTATAAAGTGTCAGAAGTACTAAGAACTTGGCATAAAAGGACATGCTAAAAGAATTCAACATAAATAGCAACAATAAGACTTGTGCAATGCAGCATATGAACCTTACTGGACATTTCAAATCTTCTGCTGCAGTCCTACAACAAAATAAAAAGAGGTGCCTCAAAACCTTCCCTTTGCAGCAAATATTACAAAATAAGTAAAAGCAATTTTTATAAGGTTGTGCACTGAGAACACAGCATTGGCAATGATACAAACTTTAGTACAGCAAGAAAAATAAAAGTTGTTTAGTGGTCATTGTTCCTTTCCTTTTTACACAGTATTTACCTAGTTACCCTCAAATTCTTAGAAATAATATACATTCAGCATCATATTTGGACACAAAAACAGTGGAAAATAATTACCTAAAATATTTACATTGATTGGCAATTACGGAGAAAAACTGATACAAAGACATTAAAATGTTATGGGTTAATACTGAAGGGAGTGAAGCTCAAAAATCCACTCTTCTCAGTTATATGCTCCTTAGCAACTCAACTCTGAAGTTTTGAATATAAAACTTTTCTTGCACTTTACATTTGTAATAAAATGTCTGCAGTCAGCACACTTTGGCGTCACATAAGCCTTGTTCGCTGACTTTAATCATTTCACAAAAACTGAAAGAAATGAGCCAGCATGAAAACACTGACAATGATACAGACTGTAAAGCCTCATTGAGTTCAACCAAAGTGGTGACTATAGGCCACTGTGCAACATCAAGGCTTGTAATTGTAGTAATGCAACAAAAGCTTAGAAAAGAAGCAAGAAACTACATTTCTACTCCACAACTGTCAAAATCTGTTAAAATAAATGTTTAAAATAGCTTGTTTTGTGGCACTTTAAATTGACATGTTTAAGTCCCATGACACCATGACTTGTACACTACACACCAGTATTTAGTTTCAATTACCCTTTACCTACACCTGGGAATAAAACATAATACTTTAGGAATAAATACCTCTAATAAATGCTTTGAGTGAATGATGTGATATAATAATGCAAAAGTTATCTTGAATCTGATACTTCAGTAAATCAGATAAAAAAAAAAAAGAGATGCACATAAAGAATACAATTATGTTTTTGTTTAAAATATAAATAAAAGTAACATTGGAAACATGAGAGTAGTGAGAGTAACCAGAAGTTAAATCCTTGAGCTATTTTAATAGCTTATTTGTGTGTACTTTTATTCATTTCAATATATTCATAATTTTATATGTATGCTTTTTATAGACATGTGATATTACATAACCAGCAACATTATCACAATGAAAAAAATTATACAGAGAAATGTATACTAGAATAAGTTTTCCAATGCTCTGCAAGTAGCCAACAAACTAATGAAGAAGTCATCAAATCTTCCTGAATGTCATCACTCACTCAATGGGATTTAGCGAAACTACTCTGAGTTTCACTTGTCTATTTATCCATTGATCATGCCATAAGACATGGTGATAAAAAGGGGACATTGTATTTTCATGACATTCAGACTTATCTGAATGAGAAATGGCACATTAAATTACAGGAAATGTATTTTTTTTTTATAAACCATTTCCCTTTTACCTTTTATGCAAATTAAAACAAGAAGCCTCCACTATTCTCAGTATAAAAGCACACAGCAGAGTGGCCATTTCTGATTGTATTTCACAGAAACCCATCTTGATGTTTCAGTACCTTAATCTCAGAGGCAAAGTTTAGTTTAGGTCTAATTCAGGCTTTTAATAGAGTAAACATTTCCTCTTCAGCTTTGTCTGAGATGTAAAACAGCCTTTCCTGTAACAGAAACTGCTTGATTGCTGTTGAGCAGGAGATAGTTTCACACAGGGACAAGGCACAAGGACTATTCAGACTATTGTGCTCTGGAGGAGGTAGAAGGCCTCAAAGGCACTAACACTGAAAGAAAGATCAAATTAAAATATAATGCCATTGGGAGATGCTCTTACTGTAGGGAGTACTGAACTGTGGGCAGCATTCAGCATATGGACTGTAACTGAGTGAAATATATTTGCTTATCAGGTTTGAATAAGGATAAGGGCCAAACATAAGGCAGTCATTTGCAAAACCTCAAAAGTTAAAGCTATCATATTTTTCTATTTTAAACATGTGAGAGTGGTGAGAGGATGCATTGGAGAAGTGTTAAAACAGCAGCACAAAAGGTACACACAATATAAGAGTCAAGGGTTCCTCTTTGGATCTCAGATGACCATTTACCCTCACATTCAGAGCACAAACTTGGGTCAGCTGGACAGGTCCAGTAGAGCACAAGCACTTCAGACTGCTTCAGAGACCAGCGTCCTGCCTCACTGCTCTGACTATGTCTCATGAAAACACAGTGAAAATGAGCAGTGGACTCTGGTTAGGATTGCACTTAAAGTTCAAATAGAACTGACACATCACATGTGACTTTTGGCAAGAACAACATATTGACCCTGTTTGTTCAGCGAGATATGACTGAGCTAATGGAGTTGTAAGATGTCCCTCCATTACAAGAGGGGGTGTAGCCACTGGAGGTCCCCACTGCCTCCATGTTAACTTTGAACACAGGGGAAACTTTGAGCAGGAAGTCAGCAGCGTCTCTGCGGCCAAGCTCTCTTAGTCTAGACATGAGCACCCCCACTGTGCTGTCAGGACGTGCACTCCACTCCTGAAGAAGGGCCGCTGTCGGGCTGGGGGGAAGAGGCATGTCCTCGGGGGGCGTTCCCAGGTCCAGATTAGCAGTCCCATTGGGTGTCCCGTTGGGAGTCCCATTACTGTGTTTGGCCACCAGTTCAGTAAGGCCTAAGTTCATAGCCAGGAGACACCAGTCTTTGCCAAGAGCATCAGGTGGGTCCAGCATGCGGCACAGTTTCCTACGGGCCAAGAGTGGAACATCAGAGATGTGTATATGTGTTCCCAGAATTCCTTGCTGGTACACCTCGGCACAGCCAAAGGCCAGGATGCTGCTGAAGCTCTCGCGGTAGCCTCCCATTGTGTTTGTGAGCGAGGTTTCCCGCTGAACCTGTGCTCTGAAGAAATCTTTGGGCTGATACACCATGATGGGAGTGTGGTGCTCCTTGAGCTGCTGCGGGCTCAGGTAGTACTTAGCTGTGAGCAGACCAGACAGGGTGGAGGCCAGCAAGTTCTCTGTTATACTGCACATGGTGTCCAACAAAGAGTAGCACTTGGCCCTCTGAGAATCTGGCCCCCGCACTTGAATATCTATGCCCTGTCCATGGTTGACCAGTACAATCATGGCCTCTGCCCCGGCCTGGCTCACCCGTGCCCCGTTGATCCACAGATGAATGTCTCCATCTAGCTCCTCGGAGCTGTCATCCTCAGGCTTCTGCTGGTGGCTCCAGCGGCACAGATTCACCTGCAGTTTGTGGAACAGACCACAAGGGAATGCTGTTAGGTGTTCAGCTGGGACCAGACGCACCCCTCCATATAACAGCGCCTCCTCCTCTTCCTCTTCAGTCCATGATCGCTGCAGCCCATTGGTTTTGATGAGAGCTGGGATGTCTACCATAGAAGGGTTTGTGGCATCCCGGGCACAGATGTCCATCGCATCTAAAATCTGAAGTAGCTCGTCCACATCGCTGTCTGGTGCCAGTGTCTGTACCTCGTCCAGCCTGTACCGCCCCCTGTAGTGGTGGATGGCCTTTGGAGTCTCCACTGAAAGCAGCTTGCCCAGTACATTACTGCATAACCAGCGCGGCTCCAGTAAAACCACATCCTGTACCGTTTCACTCTGCATGATGTTGATCTGCAAAGACAGAGAAGGGAAAGAAAGGGGAAAAAAAAGAATAAATAGGCAACTTATTGTTTAATTAATTTATTTTTTTTAAACGAACAACAGCTGCCTTTAATGTGGAAAATGCATGTATGCCTTGCATGTTTGAACCTTGAGCAAAATTAATTAATTGCTAAACACACCTCTCCCATACTGTGAAGCTGGAGTGCCAGTGTGCGCAGGTAATCGTGGCTGACCAGAGGGTTTATATGCTCCTGAACATCAAAAACAAACTGTTGCCATGACGTTAGCTGGTTTGGTCCACTCATTTTTCTCCATGTGGGCAGGGCGGCCATCAGGCGCTCGGACAGCAGGGTCATGGGACTGCACCTCTGCACATAGAGAGGAACAGGTCAATTATAATGCACATAAAAGAGGAGAGGAGCCTGAAGAGGAAGACTCACAGAGATGATGGTGGAGCGTAGGTCCTGCAGATGACTCCTCAACAGTTTCATGTCTTTAGAGTTGGAAGCTCCAGCATCCATCACAAACAATTTGTCACTGATTTGCAAGTCATTACCAAATCTAAACACAGGCAGGAAAGAAATATTGTATAGTTGTACAGCTGTATTTTTCTTCAAAAGTAAATCTGTTATCATTCACCTGTTTCTGACTTCCTTCAGCAGTGTTCTTTCTTTGTCATAACTGAAGTCTCCAGAAAAACTTCGAGGGATGTCTGCAACATCAGCGTGAGTCCCCACAAGTACAACAGTGAGAGGCTGTGGGATGCGACCTCCAAAAACTGAAAACAATTAAGAACACTTAGATATTATTTAGTATTGGAGGATAAAACTGCTGCTGCTGACAGAACCATACAGGGACATCATCTGGGATATTGATGCACAGGCAACAGCCCAAAACATCCAAACTCCCTCTCACAGGGTGTTTAACGGTTGTTCAAAAAATTTTTGCCAAAAGTAGTTAGCATTGAACACACTGGACTAATTCAACTAACTAATTCAAATCCTTATTTAACTGCATGCAGAGTGCTTCATGTGCAGATATTCATGTGACTACAGCCTTTGCTTGAAATTAACATGTGCTTTCATTAAACTGGGAGGGTAGAAACATAACCTGATTCAATTAATTTTAAAATGTAATTTAAGTTGGGAAGGATCACACACTGAAGACAACACTATACACTATACAAGTGTTCCTTGTGTTTTTGTGTTTAAGCAAATATCTAGACTGACTAAATACACGCCCTTTAACACATGAACATAATGCCTTCATACCAATGTTGTGCTGTGGGAGCGTAAGTGCTTTAAGTAGGTTCAGCCAGTAGGTGACATGGCTGAGCTGGGTCTCATACGACTCCTCTAGGCTGAACAGGACCACATGGATGGCCGTCACATCGTTGGCCGCAAAGTAGTCATAAGAGCAATAGTACACAGGGTTTCCAGAAAACTCCCACACACTGAAATCTCCCACACCTAAAGGCAACAACAATTACTCAATATTCTGAAATAAAATAATGAAAAATTATAGACCAGTATATAAAGTAGTCTGTCTTACCATGGATGTTAGCATGTTGGATGTCAATGGCTTTTGTTGCTTGCTCGTCAGCAGCAGACAGACCATTGTGCACAGGGGAAAATACCTCCAGGACTCCTTTAGTCAAGCTAGGCTCAAACATCATGCTTCGGCTTCGTACACTCACATTTTCACAGCCAGGGTACAAATTGGAAATGCTCACCGACACTAGGCACAACAGAAAAACAGAAATGTGCATAGACAGGTATTTAAAACAGATATTTTATCATTTAGTTGACTGAGACTATCACCACATGAAAGAAATAAAGATCTATTCAAACATAAATAAGCTAAACCAAGTTAGTCAGTTAGTAAATATAACACCACATGGGGGCAGTGTTGCACAATACATGTGGTTATATAGTAAGGCTTGATTTTCGGCATGTTGCAAGACCCACAATTATTTTTTCCCAGCTAATCTGGCAAAATATACTACCATGCAATTAATGCATTACATTGCCATTGTTCATCATGAATGCAGATTTATTTTTTGTGCTTGTGGTATTAAAAGGGGATTTCAATTATAAATATATGTTGAGAACAATGACCTTGGAAATTCATTGGGGTTTATTGTTATGTATTCAATCAACAAATACATCCAAGTGATTATATACTTATAGTTATAGTTAGTTATAAAACATAATTGAAATATTAATAGCAAATGTGAGTCAGTAGAGACGACAGTAGAGTCTGTTTTGACAAAAATCACCCTTCTTCATTTGTGACAAAGGCTTGAGATTTACAGATTGCTCAAATGATGAGACTGGTAACTCTACACGGCTCACGTAACTGACCATTATCGACTGTCTGGGAGGTAATGGCTTCGGGTGCCACAAAACACAACGGTAAAGAAAATAGATGTGTCCGAGTGAGGAGGGGAGATAGGAGACAAACAGACAGATTAAAGACAAACTGTGATTTCACAGAACAATGAACATGGTCCGAACATGAAAAAAGAAGGTGTCATTGAAAAGGTATTCTACAGTGCACTGCCAATTCATTTTAAATTCTTACTTCTTGTAAAAAACAAAGCAAATCAAAACCTAACAATTCAAACATTTAGTCTACATTCACTGCACTACATACAGTTACATTATATTTTATGATATTGGTAAACGTATTTAGATAAATGTAAACTCTATAGCTATCCATGGGTTTCAGAATAATGAAAAGTTAAGACTGTTGCCATAAAAACAAAATATCATATCTTTGGAATGTTCAGCCGTCCTCAAAATGGCACCATAATAGGAAGCTAAAACCAATGAAGAGAAAACTTACCTGCTCATACTGGCTTTTAACACCTAGCACTGTGCCACTTTTAGTTTTTGTTTTCATATTTCCTTCCTTTATTGTGTTTGCCAAATTTTATATTTGAAAATTTTAGTGTTTGTTTACATGTTCCTGCATTCTGTATTCTGTGTTCTCAGTGTTGTAAAGTGCTCTAAAAATAAACTTTGATAGTAGGTATACAGTATGACACTATATTGTTCTTACAAATGCACTGGTTTCTGGTGGTTGTCATAGTTACCTGCTGGTTTAGAGCTGAGTGGGGAGTTGGGGTGGCGGGCGGTATTGGTCATTCGCGTCCTCCTCCGTCTGAAGAAGCTGCGCAAGATGCCACACTTGAGGGACTCCAGCAGAGTACTCTTTCCTGACCCTGAGTGTCCAAACAGCTTCAGTTTGATCCTGGGCTGTACTGTGTGCGTGGGCCTCAGCTGTTGGGTGTACGTCAGCTTGTGGTTGTCCTAAAGAATATGCAACACTATTAGAAAATCAAAGAAAACCGGAGACAGTAAAATGGAAAAGTAAATCTGCAAAATCTTACTAACAGGTGTACTTTATTACCGTATTTTCCGGGCTATTAGGCGCTCTGGATTATAAATGGTCTATTTTTCGAACTTTTTTGACAAATAAACCGCACCGGACTTTAAACGAAACACAACAGCTGGATGGGTCAGTCGGACTTTGTTTGGTGCGTTCACGGTGACTTGGCTTTGTTCAATTGTGGCGTGTAGGGAGGGTGCTGTCTGGGACCACTGGATTGTTGGCGTGTTCGCAGTGACTCAGTTGTTCAGTTGTGTCTAGAAGTGGCACATTGCACTTGCTTTTTCGGTTCGTTCCTCCGTTCCGTTCCTCGTCCATGTGGAGTGAGGCTGTGGGTGTGTTTCACTGCGCGGTCGCTGTCTGCTCCTTGCGTGTTTGCGTGTGATGCGGGTGGTGCGGCTTTGTAGTTTATTGAAGTCCTGCTGGGACACCCGAGTGGATTCGTGTATAGGGCGCTCTGGATTGCGGGGCGCGCAATCGTTTTTTGATGGGGTTGGAGGCTTAAGAGTGCACCTAATAGCCAGGAAAATACAGTACTTTACTAGTGGTGGTTCTGCTACCTACTTGTCTCCATGTTCTTGTTTTGCCTTGAATGTTCCACAGTATGGCATTTAACTGCTTGTCCTACTAAGACTAAATCTAATGTCATACTGTTGAACAATAACTCCTCCATGGAAACTAGCAGCTGGCGAACTCTTCACCAGAAAAGTTACATTGTGCATTTTTAAAACGTCATTTGCCTCCACTGTTCAAAAGTAGAATATGTCAAACAGTAACCAATAATGTGAGTCATGAAGGGAAAGTGGCTCCTGAAAAAAGCAAGGGTGGGTTATGAAAGCTCTCAATACTCCTACCAAGGTTATGGTCAACACTTTCAATTCTCATTAAAAAAATAATAAAATAAAATCGCACAACAAACACAGATGCTGAACTACCTAAAAACATGACCACATGTCTTTTCTTTAGATAAGTCTTGGGTAATATTTTTGTTTATGGTGCCATTACCGTCCAGGGTCTTAAATTATCTCAGCATATGCAAAGGGTGACTGTTTTCACAGTTGCTAGTTTCATGTTTTCACACTTTGAACTGAATCTCAGCAGGTTCCTGGAGCAACAGAATCACAAAACATTCAACTTTAGGTAAAAAAGTTCTCCGGGTCCTGAATGGCAACTGGACATTATATATAGTGGGGCAAAAAGACATGTTAGAAGAAAGTATAACTGTAACCTAATCCATTCTGTTCATTTACACCACAAACAACACCATCTTAAAGTCTTCATTATCACCAAAAGGGAAAGAGCTCCTGTCTAAAAATAGTAGAGTGCCAAGAAATGCTGGAAACGCTGCTCCCAACACCTCCACACAGAAATATACCAGGTGCGAGCATTGGGTTGTGAAAACCTCAGACACATGAGTAAGTCAAGTCTTTTAAAATTATAGTTCTTACATTTCAATTCATTAGAAAAAGGTTATTTGACTGTTTACCTTCTTGAGCTTTCCAAATAGTGACACTATGAGCTCATGTTGTTCATTACAGGCCAAATCCTCTGCTGTTTTTCCATCCTGGAAGAAAAATATCAACAATAACATTAAGTGCACGTGCTGCTTACCATATCATACAATAATCATACTATGTGCAGATTCTAAAATCTATAGGGAGAAATGATAACACCTTATGTTAAGAACACCATGTATTAATAAGATGTGAGTGGAATTTCACTGCGAACTCACATAACAGCTGCAGATTTTGGTGTAAGTTTACTTCATAATCCTTATTAGATTTAACTTTAGTGCTATTACGGTTT